ATTATTGGGTACCGTAGTTCCCATTATTTGGAACACTGCCCTTCTCTACTGGTGGGCACCGCATCAAACCTATCTCGCCACCCAAGAGCCTAGCTCAGTGGGTACACCCATGGACTGTTGAAATACAGACCTGTGTTCGAATCCCGATGATGGAACTTGACGAATAAAACCAAATATTTGTGAATTGCCGGGGCCCGGTCAGCTCAATGATGATATCTCAAGGCCGTCGCCCTTTTTTTTTTTATTATAATAAAACAACCAAAAAAAAAACCTATCTCGCCGATGCTGAATGGCGAGTGCCTAGGAACCAAATCGCTGTGTTACCAAATTTCAAGGAGAGATGCAATAAAAAAAGTTGAAAACAGCAATAAACCACATTCCGACATCTCTTCTTCTTCTTCTTCTTTTTTTTTTTTTTTTTTTTTTCAACAGAGATTCCAACATCTCGCAGAGACCAGACATAATTGAGCTGACTTGAAAGCAGAAAATCAAAGCGAGTTGCACAGCAAATAGAAGCGAGCAATACACCGAAGTCTCTTAATATAGAAAGCCCTTCCACTGCCTCCAATTATGAAAACAACGACAATGTAGCCCTCCGCCCGATGCTGATTGAAGACTCTGGTAATACAGGCGGCCTCGTCACACCAGGTATGTGTCGTCACTGCCTTGATCCCACTGCTTCCTTCCTCTCCCGTCAACCTCAGCGACCCACCATTCAGCAAACCTCGCACCCAGCCGGCTATGGCTGGTGCACTTCTTCTTCCTCTGCTGCCAGCACACAGCTTTTCATTCCTCGGCCGCTGGCTGGCTTCGCTCCCCGACAGCGTGGCCGCTCAGCCCAAATGCCTGAATGTACTCTGGCTGGGCGGCCTCCTCTCTTTTGTGATGGCTGAGGAGGCCGCGCCCGGGCTCAGTCCAGTCTGAATGCCCGAGGCCTTCTGGAAGAATGTGCAGGCCCAGCCTCTGTAACCAACTCGTGGGCTCGTCCTACCGTGTTGGTTACACAGGCTGGCCGCAACCAGCCACTCGCGATTGGGCCCTTTTTTTCCTCACTCCGGCCTTCTCTTAGGGCCGGCCTCATTTTTTTTGCCAGGCCTGCCTTCACATGGAGATCCTTGCACAAACTCCACCACTCCCCCCTTCCCACCCCTCGCCTGCCGCACCCCTCTCTCTGGTCACCAACAAACAAGGCTCAGAACACTGCGCAGCTGACGTGTACCTCTTCTCCTGCCTGAAAAAATGTTGTTATCACCAAGAAGACGTAGTGACAAACCTGTCGTAGAAATCTGTGCTACAACTGTCAAAGATATCAATTTTGATTTGAAACCAGCGAAATAAATGCAATGACCAGGCGCGAAGCGAACATAACCCTCTTTTTGACAAACAAAGCCTATTAATAATGAAAAGCTGGATTCAAACTAGTAAACCCTGCTTTTCAGAAAAGGCTTCCAGATACAATTGGGGAAGTTAGAACAGGACGGCGGCAGCAGGGCCTAAGGCAAGGAATAGCAGGGCACGATCCAGAGGTCGTATAGAGAGGCGGGACAGGGGCCTGATACGATAGAAGTCCATAGAACCAGAATAGCAACAAGAATAGACAGGGATGATATGATAGAAGTTCAATAGCAACCAGAATAGACAGGGATGATAGGATAGAAGTTCAATAGCAACCAGAATAGCAATCAGAATAACAACCAGAATAGCCACCAGAATAGCAACCAGAACGATGATAGGATCGAAGTTCAATAGCAACCAGAATAGCAACCAGAATAGACAGGGATGATAGGATAGAAGTTCAATAGCAACCAGAATAGCAACCAGAATAGCAACCAGAATAGCAACCAGAATAGCAACCAGAATAGCAACCAGAATAGACAGGGATGATAGGATAGAAGTTCATAGAACCAGAATAGGCGATTCCGGAGGAATAGATGTAAGGTCAACTTAGGCAGGGGTGAGGGCGGGCAGGTACATCCTTCAGATAGGTCTAGTATTCAAAATTACAAGAAAGAGTACATGATAGCTTTTTTAGTTCTGGAAAGTAAAAATTCAGGCATTCCACCACCTGAGCTAACTACCCCAATGTGTTCTTCCCAATCTAAAGCGCCCCTTCTTCGTGGACAATCACAATTTATGCGAAGCTAAAGGCACCAGTCAAGGCAACCATTCTTCATTGCGAATTCGCAAAACACGCTTTCGCCTGTGCGAACCCTCTACGTCCGAGTTCATTACCATTGACAGACAAGTGGATTGGTCAGTCTTTTAGCAATCTCTGCACCGTTGTTTCGACCGGAACAACTAATGCGAATTCCTTTTGCCAAGAAAAGAATGGAGCCGACAGCACCACGTAAAAAATTTATGTTCTGCCGAACGAAGGCCGTGCGCTTCTGATGATGTTGCCACTTGGTTGGTTTCGTCGTTGCTTTTCCACGCACAAGGTGAAGTAATCAATGCCGCCCACTCGGGTCTGTCAAGTTTCAAACATAATGGGGACACGCGTGGTACAAAAACGACGAACTGTTGAAATACAGACTCAAGTTCAAATTTGAAATCCAGACCAGATAAAAAATCAGATGCCCAGAATGAGACCATCATTCTGAATTACCTGGGGCCGGTCAGCTTCCATGATGATGATATCTCAAGGTCGTCGCCACTTTGGGAGGGGAAAAAAAAAAAAAAACTGTAGCTTTCTTTGAGACTCTCCTTCAGCTGGCAATTTGCCATATCTAGTACATCCACAAACGCAAAGTAAGATTGCGAGCAAAGAAGGAAAGGAAAATTAATAACTTAATAAAAATTAAGCTCATCACAGTTCGAGTAAGCGAGAGCAATCAATGAATTTAAAAACTCAAATCCTGGAGGCAAAGAAGGCTCTTCCCCACAACTCTCAGGCTTTGAGAAAGGGGGGTCTGTTATTAAAATTATTTAATTATTATTATTCATTTCAGATTTTCTGTCAAAGTAGTAAAGGTGGAGGAGACAGTAATTTAATTAATGTGGCTGAATGGCATACCTTATTATAGAGTAATTATTATTAAATTATTTAATTATACCCATAGAATTCTTAATAAGTGGACCTCCTGAGTTCAACTCGTGACGGAATAAAATACCTCTAAGTTACCTAGGGCTGATCAGTACCCAAAAAAAAAAAAAAAAAAAAAAAAAAAAAAAAAAAAAAAGAAGGGGACAGCAATGACTTCTGAAGTTCTGAATGTATACCTGAGCCAAAAAAAAAAAAAGGGACGACAATGACTTCTCAGCTTCTGAATGTATACCTGAGCATAGTACTCTACTGATGAAGCTTCATCTGAAGGTTCAACTGAAGGTTCATGTGAAGCTTCAACTGAAGGTTCATGTGAAGCTTCAACTGAAGGTTCAACTGAAGCTTCATCTCAGGCTGCGAGAAGTGTTTGTAATTATTACTCATTTAATTAAAAAAAAAAAAATTCTGTCAAATTAGTAAAAGCCTAAACGGTGAACACAGTCATTAATGTGGATGGATGGCAATTACTTCTGAATGTATATCTCAGCACTTAAGCCTAGCTACAGGCAACAATGAAGGGTCTGTGACTCCTGTACCCCCACAACTACGAAGATTCTGTCCGAAGCCTCAGGGGCATGGTCCCACTAGCAACCGGATAGGATAGAAAAGAGTTTGTGTGGCAGTTGACTGACCCGAATCCTGCCGTGCAGTACTGGTGATCCCACGGTCAGTATTTTACATGTATTACCCGAAAAAGCAAGGAGATCTTCGTTCCCCTCTTCCTCTCTTTAACACTGGGCATGCCGGTGCAAAGGAAGCTTCGCGCCAAAATCTTTTCAATCCGTTGGGGGTATGGCCAACCCCAAAAGAGAGTGGGGTCGGCCATAGGCCTACTGGATAGAAGATTTTCAGTATTTTGCTTGCTGTTGTGCAATTATCTCATTGGGTGGAGCCCTCCTTCAATCACGGAGTATATATATGGAGGGCGTCAGAATCACTGCTGACAGAAGTTGAGTTTATTCCGGAAAATGTGGCAGTTACTTTCTGCACTGTTGTTGCAACCACCACCATCAGATCATTTGTGATCTGATGGCTGGGAAGCACTCTGCCGTGATTTCAGGTGGGAGGTCTCTGTTTCTTTTTTTTTCTTTTTTTTGCCTTTCTCCTGTTTTCTCACCCCAGAAATTCGTAATGAACCTGTCAGGCCGCTGCCACTCAGTGTCACACTGGATCGGCCACATTCCTATCCTACTGCTAATGGGACCACAACCCAGGAGTCAGAACCATCTCGTCTGTAACTGTCTGTTTTTTTTTTTTTTTTTCTTTTTTAGAATAACCAAGGCCTTGAGGAATCATATTTGAGCTGACTGGCTCCAGGTAATTCAGAATGATTCTTATTCTGTTCATCTTTTTTTTTTTTTTTTTTTTTTT